ACATACTGAAAGTGTTCGTTTCAGATAGATCTGTGGTTACCGATTACCACTATGATTCAATTTATTGTGTACATGGGTTGGATGAAGGTATTTTTTCGCTGTTTTCATTTTGAATTTCTACTCCATCATACCATCTTACCTCCCGGTTATGGATAGTGGTGCTTAGTTATGAACCTGCACTTATTAAGTGTCTCTACAGACAAAAGTAAACAAAAATGTCATAAGAAAAACATTACAACCGCTGGATGACTGCTATGACAGTCCGCACCATGATAGAATTTCCTAAGTTTGCATCCATCATCTGAGCTTCTTGCAGCGCAATTGGTTGCAGTTGCAGTTGGCAAATTGCAGTTGCAGTTGGTAAATTCGAATAGCGTCCAGATTCACCTCACCTTGTGGGGTGCATTACTTTATACAACGTTTTCGGGTGACCAAAGTGCTACAGCCTTGTTTACGGATGCTGGGGCATGTTAGGAGTGAGGGGAGCGGTAGGGTAGGGCTGGGTTTGGCGCAAGCCGGCCTGTTGCCCACCAGTTGTCGTCGGTTCCTGAAGAGGGGACGACAACTGGTGGAAACAGGCTGGCTCCGCGCCAAAATCAGCCTCCTAATATCCGCAGCAAATGCGCGGGAAGGGGTTTATATGGGAGGCAGCTGTAGTAGTAACACTGTGCACAAGAAAGTTTCTGAACAGTTTATATATAGGCTGTGTTGCAGGTTGCTGAAGCGCTTCTGAATCCTCTTGGAGAAGATGATGATGATCTCGAATGCAACTATGTCATCGATAAGAATCTAATCGTGAGTTTAAAATGACCAAAACCAAGAAAACAAAAAATGATCCAGAAACTGGAAAGGCAGCATCAAAAGTTCTCAGTGCGGCTGAGTCGAGTATTAAGCCCACAAATCTGTTCAACTTCATTCATTTGGAGACCAAGCTCACAGAAGGTTCTCTAACGCCACTGTTTCTCATATGTTTTAGTGAAGTGAGCTACATTCGACCTGCCTACATGAGAAACTTGTTCGTTCTTGTGTTATCCAAGCCCCAGATGCGACAAGAGTCAAAAATGAAAGCTTTATAACTTATGAACAGATGCGCCCGGCGATAATAAAACCCTCCCGCTTCTGAATCCTGCCAGAGCGAGCAAAGGCAGTTCAATGGACTAAGTAGTTCAGGCACAAGTTGTTATGAACCCAGCTCCTCATTCAGGGGAAGACATTTTGCGGCTCACAAACTTCCCAAGTGAAAGCACCAGAACATCCGTCTGCAGGGATCTGAATGTTGATTTTGGACAACATTACGGTATAAAGACGCAGAGACGCTCAGGTGGGAGGCCAGGCAACCGCGAACGGTAGAGATCATCACCCATTTTATATTTAATTTTCCTCGTCTGTTTGTTTGTTTGTTTGTTTGTTTGTTTGTTTGTTTGTCTGTCCGGAAATTCGGTTCTACCAGAAGAACAACTTGGAGAGGTGGGGTCAAGGTCGGGATGGGTAGGGCATGTGACAAGATGTAAAGAGCACCGTAACCCATGGTAAGCCCCGCCCACAGTGTGTTGAAAGTTAGCGGTCTCACTGAAAAAAATTCATAATTCGGCTCCAGAGCAGTCCCGAGATGGGGAAAAAGTGGATTAAGGTTAGCAAAGGGTTGACCCATCAAATGGAGGAGGCACACCCGAAATGGGCGGGGCGTACTCGAGATGGGCGGTGCTTCCCACAAATGTCGGTAACTCGGTCCCCGAGAGAGTTAAGAGATTACAAGACAAACATCCGGGGAGAGTTCGTAATATCTGCGGTATGCTATGACTCGCCCACACTGGGAGGGCGCGTGACCTCAAACGTAAGGTATTAATTCAAAAAAGAAAACGTAGGTTGGGCTCCAGAGCACTACAGACGAAGCGGAAAGTGGATTATGGTCCCAAATGATCCCCGTTGAGAAGTGCAAGTACACCGTTTTGGGCGGAGCGTGCGAGGTGGGCGGAGCCAGATTAAAAAAACGTAAAACGGAGCACTCCAGACACCGAGGAAAACGTCGATTGATGTCAGTGATGGGTCACCGGTTGAGAAGTGCGAGGCACATCCGTTGTGGGTGGAGCGTGCATGGGGTGGGCGGAGCCAGACTAAAAAATTCGTAAACGCTTCCAGAGCACTCCAGACATTGGAAAAAGTGGATTAATGTCAGCGGTGGGTCACCTGTTGAGAAGTACGAGGCACACCCGTTGTGGGCGGAGCGTGAGGAGAGCTGGGCGGGGCCAAACGAAAAAGACTTTGAAACGTTCCCAGAGCAGTCCAGACACCGGCAAAAGGTGAGCAGAGGTGTGCAAGTCCTCGGCCATTGAAGTGAGATAGACACGCCCATTGTGGGCGAAGCAGGTGTCGAGGTGGGAGGGGCAAAAGTCAAAAATTCACGAGTTGCTTCGCAGAGCAGCATATGCACCGGGGACATGTGAACTGAAGCTCACAACGGCTAGTGGATGTAATGGGGCTGAGGTTCTCAAAATGGGCGGGACTTACTGGCGGGGCGTGCTTGCAGTAACTTCAGGGATTGTAAACAGCCGTTGGGGAAAAGACACATACAGCGAAGGTTGAGTGCGTATGCCGTGTATAGAGACCCGTCCACAGTGGAATGTGCAAGCCGCCTACTTTTACTGACTTCAGTGCATGGGCAGCCATGCACTTAACCACCGATCGTCGTAAATGCATTAGATAGCAATCAGCTCACCCTGACGCCAGCGCGCTTCCTCTGTGATACAGCTCGGCCTTGCCCGGGGGCTCTGTCTACCTTACCTGCTTTCGTACGTTCAAATGCACGACTGATACCCGGCTTTCTGCCATCTCTGCACTTCATCAATGCTCCTTACAGCGTCTGCTCGGCCAAGCCGGGCCTTATCACAGTAGTGTGTGAAGTGCAAGAAATGCCTAGTTGGACACATATCTCTGTAAGGGAATATACCGGAGGTTAAAGAACTTTCCGGTTGCAGGTGTGAATCTAATGATGTGAATTATAAGAATCTTCTTATTTAACGGCATGAGAAGTCTTTCCTCCGCAGAATCCTTGATCCGCTAAAATGCCACCTCCGGCTCTAAATAGCGGGTTAAGGGTTCTGTGCTTTTCAGTAGCTAGAACCATATGCATAATAATTGATCTTTCCTTATTCTTTCGATAATACGTATGTCTTCTGTTTTGAGTTTTTTAGACGGGATTAACCACAGTGGAGACGATGTGGAAACCAACTGAGGTGACAACATGACGACCGTTTTACCTTCTGGCAGTTGTGTCCTTTTCTTAGGGTGGTGATCAGTAGATTCAAAAGCGAGCTAGCTCAACGGCATTACTGATCGCTACTCTCAACTCGCTTTCCTTTACTTAATAACAAAGCTTCTTAATTCCTCTCTCTGTACAGCTTTCCTTTGCTATATTAACGTGATCCGTCTGTAACGTACTACGACTCCACTTTGGATGGAAACACTACACAATGACAACCCGGTTGCCATTTAGGGGGGATCCGCAGAGTTGCTTCAAGGCGAAACTGATCATTTTTGCACTTTTTTTGTGGCCAACAGTGCGCTCTATATTGTAGCCCTGACTTGACTCTGGAGATCTCCTCAGTTAATCTGGACATGCAGCACAGCCTGAAAACTCAACATTGTAGTAGTCTGTTCTTCTGTAGTTTCACTTCTAATCTTGGGTGGTGGTGTAAATGCTGACATGCGGGTGGGATAACGATACTTCACATTGTTTCATCAACAACTTTTCAGACCGGCTACTCGATGGTTGAAGAAAATTTGGCAAAGATTCCTGTACAGAAGAAGGACGATTTCTGGGGAATCGATAAAATCGCTCCACTCTACAGTATCGAATCCGCGGAACGTTCGGTACACCCATTAGTAGGAAGTGCCAGCAAAATCAAGTGAGTTCACGTAGCAGCACGGATTTACGGGGGAGCCTTCCAGAATCTGACCGTAGCGCGATGCAGTGCACGTTTTCAGCAGTCACCAAAAGAAGCTATTCCGGAAAAAAAGTTAAGAAAGTTCAAAGGCGTTCTAATTTCTAAAGCGAGAATGGACTAGGCAAAATAAAAGGTCTTACAAAGTGCATATAACTCTCAATATTGCATTGCTTTCCAAGTAATCTCTTGATTGGCCTTTCGACTGTTCTCTTAATTCGAAATTTCTTACAAATATTAAAATTTCTTATAATCTCCGTTTTGAAAGAACTGGCCTTGAAATACGCAAAGGAGGGAAAACGGGAAAAAGAGTCACTTGAGACAGGAAATCAGTCGAATTCGGGGGCTTCAAGTTGCTAAACAAAAGATCTAGCTTGAGTACACTCCTTATCCCTAAAACGGACTGGGCATGGCATTTTAACATGGCATGGGATCTATTACCCGTGGGATACCTCAGTTCGAGAGAACTGTCCCCTTGTCCTGTGTTGGACAGAGACACGAACACAGTTGTGTCGAAGTGAAATTATTTTACCAAAAGCATAGCCACCACTATGTAGTTCAGTGCCACGCCAACCGCGTCACAATAATTTGGAGTGCATCTTGCATCTCACCAAAATGCCCTCGATTTAAAGGCCAACGAGACCTCATGAAGTGTATTCTGAATTGATAGGCTGAATTTTTAGTTTGGTGAAAAATCGCCACGAGATCGTCATGACACCACACAAGAACAAGCTGAGTGAGTTGACTGAGGAAGAACAGGTGAGTTGCTCATGTGGTATCATCCTTTTTCATTGGAATCCGATTGGAATTGCAGTGGTGGGAAAGGGGCAGAATAGATACCTCTCTCATAGCACGCATCAGCAAAGCAGGTGGAAGGCCTTACGTGGCGCACTTCTGAGATGCTCTTCTATAAGCAGAAGAAAGTCCTCCATCACAACCTTGATAGTTGCAAGAAGGGGAACCTATGTATCATCACCAACGAGCTCAAGCAGGCGTACAGCCTTTATGTAAGCTTGAAGCTGCAGCAGCAGCAGCTGTAGCTACGTTATGTCCACAGTCTGGTCACTTGTGGACAAATTCCTGAACAGCGTCTTTGGTGGTGAATAACGCTAGCACTCTCACAGTTTGAACCACTTCGATATGCTTCATTGTTGAGTTCCCAGTAAATCGAAGATCCCTTGGGTCAGGGGCATTGCAATGTCGCTCATGCCTATCATCTAGACGGATTGGGAAGAGTGTCCAAAGTTTACGTTTAGGTTATCCATCTAGCTGGGGAACACCAGCAAGGTCTTACGTTTTAGAATCCCCAGCGGGGAGGGGGTCGTATTTGGCCGCTGGAGGGAGTCGGAGTCGTGTGAGATCCGAGGAATTTTTTTAGCAAGTTTCTTCTGCGTTATGCAACATTGAGAGACACACTACCTTTGCCTTGGGATGAGGGCGGGTCGTATGGGCCTATGCGCTATACCCCTTCCCCGCTGTAGACGATGTCTACCACACAACTATTATTTTCGATAACTTGTTTGGTGGAGACCTTCCCTACCCCATCCCCCTCCGCCCTCCCCGGCGGCGAAGTTTCAGAGCAATTCCAGTATTTGAAAAGCATGTTAAGAAGCTGTAAAAACTCAAGAAGATGGTAGGTAGCTTGGCAAAAAGGGGGTGGTGTCGACAGAGCAGGAAATTTTGTAGTCGTTTTTCGCAAAAATGAAAGCCAACGACAAGGCTACACTGCTCCTGGCCCCATTCCTCTTTTCCCCTTCATCTGTATATAGCGTCTCAGAGCAGTGGCACGTTTCTGGGCACTCAAGTGATCCAAGCATTTTCAGAAGTCGTACTTGCGCCGGGTGGGCGTGTCGGCGCACAATGCTCGGCATCATCGCCAAAGAACACAGGAGAGGGCGAACAGTCCAGACAAGTGCCTCTCAAAGGTTCGAACAAGATCGAAGTGAGTTTTCTGCCGTTCGTCATAGATATACACAAGGCGATGGACTCTGGCTCCCATGGTGCCTATTAGAAAATCTGGCGTATATTCGCAATCAACATGAAGGGAGAGAGAAATTTCTTCTTTATTTCGTTTTAGATCTGAACTGCAGTTCATTCAGTTCTATGAAAAGTAAGTTGCATGAAGCGTTCAGTGGCGTGCAGTGAGCCGTAGCATCATGCCAGTTGCTGTTTCGTTTGCACACTAATCTCCTTTGTTTTCTTTAGCGGCAAATTCCGTGCGGTGTCGTCAAATGGCACACGGAACGGCGACGATCCATGGCAACGATCTGGTGTGTTCCATTATTCTTCTCCTCAACTTTTCTTGATTGCTCTAGATGCCCACCGCAACCTAAAGTCGTTATCCGGCAGTTGATTAGACGGTCAAAGGGTCGCGGACGAGGTGCGGAGCGTCGCGACCACGGCGTTAGCTGTTTTCAGCCTATTTAGCCATTTTCTATTAGGTTTTCACTGTTTTTGGCTGCTTTTCTGAGGTTAGTTGTTCCTTGTCTTCACAAGGTAAATTATGATTGAGATTTCTCTAATTTTTGCGAACAATTAAATAATTGAACAAACAATAAAACAAATACCAAAAAAAATCGCAAAAACGCTTCATTACCAAAGCAAAAAAAGAACCTAAAAAGAAAGAAAAAGAAGAGTCCTAATATATTTCGTAAACGCAAGAAACAGCTTCCTTTGAAAAAAATAAATAATCCAGTGGAAATTAGAGTTAAAATGGCTAATAGACTGGAAACAGCTGATCGCCGCGGTTTTGACGCGCCGCAGCCGCGTCTGCGACCCTTTGAGAGCACCTGACACTGAACTCATGGTCAGAAGCGGTAGAGAAGCGTTTCTGCCTAACTATCTTTTGTTTGAGCTATTCCTCTGATTTCCGAATCCCCTGTTCGACTCGGGCTAGAGAGACCATTTACCAATCTACTGATCATGTTCCGCGCAAAGGGAAAACTGATTATTAGGCAAGATCCACTTGTCGTTGAGCCTGTTCAGTCCATAACCTAGAAATCGGAAAGGCATGTCATCGCGTATAGGCGAAAACTCAAGTAGGGAGAAATGAATCGTTACGTTCCCTTCGGGTATCTGCGCTCTCTTACGCGTACACTTGTGTTTCTGACGGACACGCCCTCCCCATTATTGGTATATGGACCAAACGTACCGGTGGAAGCCAGCCTTTCAAAATGTTTCAGTTTGACCACCAGGCGTACGTGAAGTAGACGTAGTTGAGTTAAAATTAATTTATTATTTTAAGGATTCCAAAGGCCAAGTTCCTCTGTGAGCCTGCCTTTTAGGGTCGATTATCTAGATGAAACATCGCACCACATCGAATGGGAATGACCACAGGTCGTAAGAACATTATTGCAAAATCAATTCCTCACAGCCCTTCTTTGCGAAAGTAATGAGCACTATTCCTGAAATTACGCATTTGCTGGCAGCGGCGTTCCTCTGGAGCGACGAGACGATCCTTTAGATGGTTTTCTGCTTCTTTCCCAGAGGAATTCCCAAGAGGATTTGATTTCTGCTTAACTGCACATAGTTACCGTAGTTCTCTAAGTTTCAGCCTGCGACTAATATAGATAGTATGCGTTTGGTAGTTTGGTAGCGAAATAGAAAGATCCTCTGTTAAGCGAGCTTCTTTTTATTTCAGCACCTGTTCCTTTTAGTTTGCTGAATTCCTCGTTTAATGGCTGGACGTTAACGGCATTTCACCCAACTTCTCGTCCTATGAGCGATTGCTGAACTTTTTCATTCGTTTCTTTCTTCCCCGCAGTTCTGCCAAGCAACCTCGATATTTTGACTCGCTCGCATATTTTACTTTCACAGTCGCATAATCCAGATGTCAAGTCATACGTCATTTATAAAGAAATAACATCTAAATGCTGGATTCGCACGTTTCAGTTGTCACCAGTGGAACTTATACGCATAGTGACCCGAACTACTGAGCGCTTTAGGCCTTGAAGAGCAGGTTACAGTAGGGGAATCCAAGAAATTCTTACTAGGGCAAGTTGCTGAATTCTACCAGTAGTTGGGCATCATGCTTTGTCTGCCTTAAAAACACATGGTACGATCACACATAGTTTGGGTGTGCGTGACTATCAGCCCCCCAGCTGTCGAAGCGTAGCGGTTTCCCCGTCCTAACATGCGCAGGAATGGAGATACAGGACCGTGAAACACGCTAATTCCTCCATGCTCCGCCCAATGCCTTTTGCGGCGCAGACTCCCGTTTATGCTAACAGCCGTCCGCGCGGCGCGTGTCGCGCGCAGCGCTCTTGGCACTTTGCCAAGTCCTGTAATTGCGCTTTGGAATACAAGTAAAACGCAATTTCCTGATGCGGATAACATTTGAGGTGTTGCTCATGCTGCAAAGTCCGAATAGAAGGTGATGAAGATGACAAAGGCTAGAAATGAAGAACAACGAATGTAGATGTAAATAAAACAAAATTGAAAAAACTAAGGAAACGCAATAAATTGAAATCGCGTGTAAATTCCTGCAAACTTCTGCAATTCGGCGCGATTCCGGCTCCAAAGCCATAAAAATACTTTAAACTAACGAGTGGGACGCTTAGGCCGTTTTTATTTTCATGTTTTGTGGGAATGCGCGGCCTCCGAGGGGATATTGCAGAAGCAGCACAGTTGCTCTTGAGTTCTGGCCCTCGTCATCATCTTCGGTTCTTATTTTGCAGCACCTCAAATGTTATCCGCATCAGGAAATTGCGTTTTACTTGTATTCCAAAGCGCAATTACAGGACTTGGCAAAGTGCCAAGAGCGCTGCGCGCGACACGCGCCGCGCGGACGGCTGTTAGCATAAACGGGAGTCTGCGCCGCAAAAGGCATTGGGCGGAGCATGGAGGAATTAGCGTGTTTCACGGTCCTGTATCTCCATTCCTGCGCATGTTCGGACGATGAAACTGCTACGCTTCGACAGCTGGGGGGGGGGCTGATAGTCACGCACGCCTAAACTATGTGCGACCGTACCATGTGTCTTTAACTTAATCCGGGCTCTCTTCCCCATTCGATTTATTCCTCCGGAAACTCTGAGGCGTAGTTGCGCTAAGGCTCAAGGGAGTTTCTTCCCAAAAACAAGTGATGGAGAAGTCCGTAAAGGTGACGTGTTGCGAACATCTCCATCTGGTGATTATTCTGGTTCTAATGCAGCTCTACAGTCTTTTGACTGACTTTTGAGCTTCATCTCTGGTGACGTTTGCATCAGAGATAAATTTTAGTCTGAAACAACGAGAACTCGTGCACTGCTTTGATTGTCTCACTTCCGGATGCGCAATGCTGCAAAATAACGTATGAAATACTTGGAAAGTCGACTGTTCGGTATTTGCACATTCGAAACAAAGTGGCCGAGGCTTGTGCTCAGTTCGTAAGGACCACTGAGTACAGCGTTTCCCTCCGCCAAGGAAATGAGGCATTTTTCTCGACAGCTGACCTTGGGCGTTTGATTTACCGTAGCGTAACAGAAAGCGGCTCGAGCAGTGAATCAAGCCTCGATCTCCTGGCCTTTACCGACTTCTACTCTTCTTATAAGTGAGTGCATTATAGAGTGGGTGAAAGAATTGCAAGAACTCGGAAAAGGGAGAACCCTGTTCACATGTTCGATATCCTTTTGTCCACGTCTTCTTCTTTGCTCAGCACCTGTCCATTTTAAAGCCAAGGCGTACACTCACCATCGAATACGGTCTCTGCCATGTGCAAGTCGAATGGGTCCGCAGTTGGAGTAGGTTGCCAGTTTCTTCGCTCAAAAGTGCACATTAATGGGACTGGAGTGAAAAGACACCTGAGCGCCGTCTCCATACTCCCCTGGCGCTATCCTTGAGGTGCAGCGGTTGCGTCGGTCCAACACGCACTTTGCACTTAGCAATGGAGAGCAAATGAAAGTCAGAGAGTACAGACAAGCGTGTTTGGCTATAGCTAGGCGACTACAGGGCAGCGTTCGATGGGGATTCCCTATGGGAGGGGGGGCGGTTGGGTATTTGAGGCGCGCCAAAGGGGGGGGGGTCGCTATTTGCGCTGGCAAAAATTTATTGTTTTATGCGGTTTGATTTTTCTCGGGGGGTCGTATTTCTGTCTAGGAGTTACGTGGTTCACTTCATGAGTTTTATGAATTTTCTGTGTTATAGGTATAGGTACCCCCCCCCGCTCGATGACTTTTTCGCGCGAGTATAACCACAAACCACAAGTCAGCCATCCAGTGTCATTCTCTGTCGAGCGGCGGGGGGGGGGGGAAGTCTTTACAAGGTAGAATAGGTGTCGTGACGCGTAAGATTTCTAAGTCGAATGCAGCGAGCTCGAACGCATCCGGTCCCTACCTTCCCGTGTCTTAAAACCTTCGAACAGCGAAATTCCAAGCAGTGACTAGAAATCCAGTGCCGAGTCACTCAAACAATACTGATCATGCACTGCCTTCCTCAAACAGTTCATCGCCATAAGCCAGAAAGTAGGACTATTGTTGAGCTCAACCATTTTGCATGTCTGTTTTTCCCTCACAGTAATATCTCTTGCTTGTAAATGAATGGTCGTGTTAACCTCCTACGTCAAATGAGCATTTCCATTTCCATTTCATTTTTTCCTTTTTTTGCGCTCATTACATCTGCTTCGGTTGATGTGGTTGCGGTGAAGAGAGCATTATTACAAGCTTGTTGTTTCGACAAATTCCTTGATGAGCTTCCACGAATAATTGTACAGTTTCAGTTATTGATGTCGAAATGAATATGCCACCTACGTTCCACACCAGCAACCAAGTGCATCCACAAGGTTCGACGGATTCCGCTTCGGAAAGTGAGTCCAGGAATGAAAAATTGCGGCTACATATGATCCGCGTGAAACCGTGTTCTGTTGTCCATCGCGCAGTCTGACCGAGCAACCAAGGTATTATTGGAAAGGATTAAGGAAACCCTCAAAAAAGCCTCAGCTTATCAGTGTTACGACATATTAGGGTGTCCGAAAAGTTTCGAGAAATCTCAACCAGCTCATTTAACATTCACTAACAACAATAAGAGATAGAAATTCATAGTTATAATGAACATTGTCCGTCCCATTTCTCTTGAATTTTGGGGGGGAATATATTGCGTGGGAGCTAGAGGTGAGTACCGGGGATGCGGGGGCGTTCGCAACAACCATGCCAAGGTTCCATGTAAGAGCTCGATTGATCTCCTATCACAGATAGTTTTCAAGCGTGTTTTATCCAGCACAGGGCACATCATTGGTTGAAAATTTTATTCGAGTCGGTACTACCTACTACCTCCCCCTTTTTTTCCCCGAAAAAAATT